TTTTATAAGCCTTACTCCTCTGTATTTATAATTTTTTCTAAAATTTCATTACTTCAAATATTGGACACAGCTTTTTATTAGATGTGTTAAAATTTTGCCAGAGATCTTACGAGTCATAAAACCATAATGACAGATGATGTCCTATTGTTTGTAGCGGGAAACAGGAATCGATTTCGAGAGAAAAGGGGTGAGCAGCGAGATCAGCGGTGAGCTAACGGGGATAGATTTAATGTAAAGTTACTGTTCAAGATAATTCTTTTCGATGAAAACGTCGCGTGAAGTAATGACCGGTGTATAAAGTGCAGAACAGTGTAACGACGCGACGCGACGGGGCGACAAAAAATCGGCCTAGGACTTCGCTAGGGAGGCGAACCGTTGCCCATTAATCATCGTGGCAGGTGATGGTTAACCACGCGACGTTGAATAAAAAGTTTGCCCGTTGACCACGCACCCGGTCTCTTTTTCGTCTAGCGAATTTAAATTTGATTACAAATCATTTTCTAATGATACTTTTCTCTATCTTTCGTGCGATTTCTTCAGAACCAATGCCAGTAGAAATTGGATCTAAATTAGAATTGCTTCACGAACCTAGACATGACGCGATTGATGTTTCGTATTAATGTTATGATGAATTAAACACTTTTCGCAAGATTTCATAAGATCAAATCGTATTTTCGCTTAATAATTTGCTAGTATTTATTGGATATTTAAGAAGGAATATGCTGTTCCTTTTTACCATGATTTACGAATCCTGCTTGTAGTTCTTTTCATTGCTACCGTGCCATTACATGCCAGGGATTCGCGTAACATCGAGAAAGCTGTGTTGTGTGAGGTCGAGAGCAGTTAACAATAGCTATCTACATCCTATTCAAGCGTAATTGGAAAAACGATTACGCGAACTTGACATCGTCAAAATTGCACATTTCATCAAGAAATTAAAGTAACGCGCTTGAAGCTGTTTTGCAGGTCGGGTTCCGTCTGGCGGATTGTATTTTTGCGGTTCCTCTCGCGACGGCAATTATCTCCGAGTCGTCGTCGTCGTCGATGTCGTCTGCGTCGTTGCGGAACGGACGACGCCGGAGGCGGTCGTCCCCGTTAAATCAGAATATTACCAAGGAAAATTGAATCGTACGGCACGCGACGAGATTCCCCGTTGAGATCACCGTGAAAATGGGCTCTCGACGGTTTCTCTTCTCGCGGCTGTCGAGGAGAGCGTAGCAGCATTTTTCTGATACGAAACGATGAAAAAAAATAAATAAACGATTGATAGGGAGAGCCCTCCGGCGGTCGAGGTAGCACCCAAGCGAGACATGTTATTTTGTCAATCCTCGAGGAAAGACGCAATACGTCCAAATTCGACGAAACGCGCAAGAGAAGTGTAATGATCGGTTGTTACGGCGATGCGATAGGGATGAAATCTGAGATAAGCTCCTGGGGACGCGTTAACTTCTTCCTTTCCTGTACAGAAATATAGCAGAGATCCAATTCGAAATGGAATGTGCAATGCTTTTAAATTAGCAAGATATTTTATTACGAACGTCTGTTCTTTCTTTCCTTTTTAAATATTTTGCTGAAACTATTTCATTTCTAACTTGTTACCTTATCTTTTTAATATTTCTTCAAAACCGAAGAAATGTTCTGTAACCGTGGAGATTTCAATGCTTCGTTTCACATAAAATCGAATCACGCGTCTAGAATGCGGAGTGCGAACACTGATTTACTACTTTTCTTAACAGCTCCATTTCTAATAAATATCTGCATTACTATCGTACTTCATAACTGCGTTGCATAACATTTTCCACGAGGAATGCGGTGAAACGCCTTTTTCTTACATCACAGTTATCTGTGCATTAATCAATCTGCTTTTCAAACAAAGCCGACTAATTAACGTCACGTATGCGACGTTTTTCCGTTTCTCAAACAGTCAGCGCAATCGTTGTTGATTTGTAACTCGCGAAATTCGGTTAAACAGATTCTCTTTTGTAACGCGACGAGCACAATGACCCGCTCCTCTTTTGTTATTTCTTTTAACGAACAGAAGTTCTTTAACTCTGTTTCTTAATACGAGTTTCTGATAAACGGATAACGAGGCTTTCCGGTGCAAATTTTACCGTGGAGCCTTGTTTCAGTTGAAAGCGTGACTGCGTCGCATTGTGCGCAGCTACATATTGTTACACAGCTATGTGGCTGCTTGCACAAGTGTAACCGATCTAACCGAGCATATTCGCGATTGTCCTCGTATTCGAGTGCCTTCAATCTCAAGTGCATACTCTGCGCATGTGTACGTCGAATACAGCTCAGTCGAGTCGAAATACATAATCGAATAGCGATTTACCCTCCAATAACGATTTACTTTACGCTGTTGAAGCGATATCGAAGGGGTTAGAGTAGTTACGTATTTTCTCTAATATTTGTCGATAAACTGAAAATAAAATTCTTTCCTTTGTTTTACCGATAACCCGAGAAAAGTAGTGCAAAATATGAGTCTAAAAAATCGACTTTTCATTTTTCTTTCGTAAATTACAATACAACAATTTATTTTCTGTTAGAATTAAGTAAATCGCCTTATACACAAGTTTAGAACTTTATACCCGTTACTGTTCTCGTTCTTAGAATTAATTTTTGATTTAAAATGTCATTTATGATCTTATAAGAAATTCATACGCTCAGAGAGGCTCTACATTTAGGGGCCGAAATTGATTTTCAACATTAATGCGTTTGAAATATAAATGTAACAGGGAAGCAACGCGAAGGGCCAGTAGGTATCACGAGACGCAGAGGTACATGTATGCACATACATATATAATATACGTGCAAGAAGCACCGTTAAAATATGTAAAACGGCACGATCCTCGCTTGGACTTCCGCATCTCCTACTGCCCTTTTCATTCTCTTCTTTTTTTCACGGACCAAGAGTTTATTCTGGACCTTCGATCATCTCCACCTTCGCAGGGTTCAACGAACGGCTACGGCCTGCAGGTGAATCCTGCTGAGGGCCAGACGCACAAATTCGTTTTGTTCGATTCTGTTCACCAACTCCAATTACGTATCTCTTAACGTTCAACAATATTTGTTTCGCTACCAATATTACCAATATCGTTTGAAAGTCTAGGACACTTTTTATTGTCCTTTCAATCTGTTGTATTTTGCATTTATAAAA